TAAACACCTGAATTACAATCAGTGAAATTGAAAATGTAATTAAAAGTTTACCAACAAAGAAAAGCCCAGGTCCTGATGGATTCACTGCTGAATTTTACAAGACATTTAGAGAAGAACTACTGCCACTACTCTTTAAACTTTTCAATGAAATTGAAAGAGAAGCAATACTTCCAAATTCATTTCTGGACACAAGTATTACTTTGATTCCCAAACAAACTAAAAAAGAGAACTATAGGCCAATCTCCTTAATGAATATACATGCAAAAATCCTTAATAATTTACTAGCAAACAGAATACAGAGGATCATCAAGAAGATCATACATCCTGACCAAGTTGGATTTATTTCAGGGATGCAAGGATGGTTCAACATATGTACATCAATAAATGTAATACACTGTATTAACAGAGTCAAACAGAAAAACCATATGATCCTCTTGATAGAAACAGAAAAAGCATTTGACAAAATTCAACACCCATTCATGATAAAAACCCTGCAAAAATTGGAATATATGGTCTATATCTTGACTTAATAAAGGCTATCTATGAAAAACCAACAGCTAACATCATATTAAATAGACAAAAATTGAAAACCTTCATGTTAAAATCAGGAACAAGACAGGATGCCCACTATCACCACTCCTCTTTGATATAGTTCTGGAAACATTAGCCACAGCAATTAGACAAGAGAAAGAAATTAAAGCCATAAAGATAGGAAAGAAAAAAAAACTGTTATTTGCTGACAATATGATACTCTATATTGAAGACCCAAAAAATTCCACGAAAAGAGTTCTAGACGTAATAGACACTTTTAGCAGAGTAGCTGTATACTAAAAAATCAATACCCTTCTTGTACACTAATAACAGACTCACTGAAAGAGAAATTAGGGAAACAATTCCCTTCACAATAGCATCCAAAAAAAAATGAAGTATCTAGGAATCAATCTAACAAAAGAAGCAAAAGACCTCTACACTGAAAACTACAGCATTCTGAAAAAAGAGATAGAAGAGGATATAAGAAAATGAAAAGATCTCCCCTGCTCCTGGGTAGGAAGAATCAACATAGTGAAAATGGCTATACGACCAAAACTGATATACAGATTCAATGCAATGCCAATTGAAATTCCAAAACTATATTTCACAGAACTAGAAAAAAGAATCTGAAAATTCATTTGGAACCTCAAGAGACCTAGAAAAAAGAGATAGAAGAGGATATAAGAAAATGAAAAGATCTCCCCTGCTCCTGGGTAGGAAGAATCAACATAGTGAAAATGGCTATACGACCAAAACTGATATACAGATTCAATGCAATGCCAATTGAAATTCCAAAACTATATTTCACAGAACTAGAAAAAAGAATCTGAAAATTCATTTGGAACCTCAAGAGACCTAGATAGCAAAAGCCATCCTAGGCAACAGAGACATGGCAGTGGGTATAACAATTCCCAATTTGAAACTATACCATAAAGCCACTGTGATAAAAACAGCATGGTACTGGCAGAGAAACAGACCTGAGGATCAGTGAAATAGATTGGAAGACACAAAAACAACTCCAGATGTCCTCAGCTACCTCATCTTTGACAAAGGAGCCAACTATCCTCACTGGAGGCAAGATAGCCTCTTTAATAAATGGTGTTGAAAAAACTAGATTTCAACCTGCCAAAGATTAAAACTAGACCCTTATCTCTCACCATGCACTAAACTAAAATCCAAGTGGATTAAAGATCTAAATATTAAAACAGAAATAGTAAACTTGCTGGAAGATAAGTTAGGCAGAACTCTTGAAGACATTGGCATAGGAAAAGCCTTTATGAGCAAATCCTCAGTAGCATGGGAACTAGCAGAAAGAATCAACAACTGGGATCTCATCTTATTAAAAAGCTTCTGCACTACAAAAGAAACCATCAACAGAACTAAAAGACAACCTACAATGTGGAAAAAAATTTTACCAGCTGCTCCTCAGACAAAGGACTATTATCTAGAATATATAAAGAACTCAAAACAATCAGTCCCCCCAAATATAAAGACCTGATTCAAAAATGGCCATCTGAAATGAACAGACATTTCTCAGACAAAGAAGTAAAAACATCAACTAAATATATGAAAAAATGTTCCACATCACTGGTCATTCGAGAGATGCAGATGAAAACAACACTGAGATTCCACCTCACCCCACAAAGAATGGCTGCTATCAAGAAATCACACAATAACAAATGTTGGTGGGGTTGTGGGGGAGTGCAGACTAGTGCAGCCACTATGGAAATCAGTATGGAGATACCTCAAGGAGTTGGGATTAGAGGTTCCATTTGACCCAGCCATCCCTCTGCTGGGTACCTTTCCAAAAGAATTAAAAGAATCATATCACAGTGATATATACACACCCATGTTTATAGAGGTACAGTTTGTAATAGCTAAAACTTGGAAAAAGCCCATATGCCCATCAGTTGGAGACCAGATAAAGACATGGTTTTTCTATAAAACGGAATACTACTCAGCCACAAAGAATGAGAAATTAGAGTCAGTCATAGGAAAATGGATGCATATTGAGGATATACTCCTAAGTGAAATAAATAAGTCACATGTGTAAATACCGAATAATTTCTCTGGTGTGAAAAACTATAATAGTACATAAGATCCTAATGGTATAAATGACAATGTGAAATAGGAAGAAAAGGGCTAAAGGTGTAGGGAAAGTGGGAAGGATACAGGAAAGGTAATAAGGGAAAAGAAAAAATATGAGAAAATGCAAAAATGGAAATAAAATAATTGTAAATGGGGAAGGGAGGAGGGGGTGAAGAGAAGGCAGGGGTAAGGGGAAAAAATGAGAACCAAGGCCTGTCATGTAAAGGTACAAGATTCCAATGATCAATGTTACTGTACTATATGCCTAAGATGTACCAATAAACTCAGAGAGAGAGAGAGAGAGAGAGAGAGAGAGAGAGGGAGGAACAATAGCTTGTTGAGTGGATTGGCCCAAGAGAGTACCTGATGCCTACATTTCATCATTTCATCTGCCATATTTGTTGCAGTGGGAAATAATGTTTAGGAACTACCATTTTAATTTGTTTTATTTATCTTTTGTGGAACTGGGAACCAAACCTGAGGTCTTGCACATGCTGGTTAAGTGCTATACCACTGAGCCCTAGGGGATCTCTCCCTCTCCCTCTCCCTCTCCCTCACCCTCTCCCTGTCCCTCTCTCCCTTCTCCACTTCTTCCCTCCCTCTCCACCAACATTGGGGATTGAACTAAGAGTCCTCACATTAAACATATCTCCCAATGCTTTCTTATTTTTGGAAACAAAGTCTCACTAAGCTGTTAAATTGCTGATATGAGGATCAAACTTGCAATCTTTCTGTCCCAGCCTCCAATTTCAAATGATGAAACAGGTTTACTAAATTTCCAAGTGATACCAGCTTAATGAATAAGCTGGATTTCAATTTGAATATAGCAAACATTTAACACTTCACAAATGTTTATAAGTAAAATGCAACTACTAGACAGAGAAATGGAAACTCAGGCTAATACACCTAAGGAAGAAAAAAGAAACTGAATAATTAAAATATGAAGTGTCACAGTTTGTAATAGATAAAATTTGGGAACAACCCAAATGCCCATCAACTTGAGACTGTATAAAAAAGATATGGACTTTCTGTAAAATGGAATAGTACTCAGCCATCAACAATGAGAAACTACAGACATTTAAAGCTAAATGGATGCACATTAAGGCCATACTCTGAAGTGAAATAAATAGGACACACGTGTAAATACTGTATAGTTTCTCTGGTGTGAAAACTAAAAGTGTAAATAAGGCTTAAATTGTATAACTTATAGTGTGAAAGAGGAAGAAAACACTAAAGGGGAAGTGGGAAAGGAGGGGGAAAGGAAATAAGGGAAAAGAAAAATGTGAAAAAAGGAAAAAATGGAAACAAAGTCTTTGTAAGCAGAGGAGGGTGAAGGGGGTGAAGGGAGGGCAGGCATGTGGGGGAAAAAACAAGAAGCAAGACCTATCACGTAAAGGTACACTATCCCATTGGTAAATTATATTGTTTGCTTTAAATGCACCAATAAACTTAATGAGGGAAAAAATATGAAGTGCCAGGTGTGGTGGTGCACTGAGGAGGCTGAGGCAGGAGGATCACCATGAGTTTGAGGCCAGCCTGGTCAAAATAGTGAGCTCAAGGCCAGCCTGAACTACATAAAAATAAGACAAAAAGCAAGTAAGCAAACAAACAAAAAGCTAAGACTGTCTAGGTACAAACAGGAGAAGATCTGTGCGTCCCAGCAAAGATAACACTATGACAAAGGAAAGATGCAGAAGATGAAAAATTCTGCTCTGATTATAATCTTGCTCCCTTTTCAGATTAAGGATGAGTCCTTGGTTCTAGTTTTACTAATATAATCAAAGTCAGCTACTCATGATTCACCAGCTTCTGTTTACTTGTCACTACCATATGCTTCCTTCTTCCTAGGCAGCAGAAATTCTTTTCAAACTAAAATTCACCTCCACTCAGGAGTGTGAAAAATGAGTTCAAGAAACTTGTCAGGTGAAATGTTCGGGCAATTTGACATCAGCCTGAAAGATTCATTGTGCGTACTTTCGACACACATTGGTTGCCTACTCAGCACAGTGCTTTTGTGGAAGTACGATGACAAGCTACAGATAGTATTCTCGCCCTCACAGAGCTGGACGTCTACAGAGGCCTCAGTTGGGAGTGTAGTGAAGGACCAACAGCATCTGTGAAGCAAAATGGGATCTTGGACATTAAAAAAAAAAAAAATCTGTCGCTCAGCCCACATGTTCATTGTTTTTTCTTGAAATGTTATTACTCCACAAAACATAGCTCCAGGGCAGGCAGGAGTAATGTTCCCTGCCCCAATAAGGCAGATAGTTGAGCAGTAAATATTATCTGCTACTTTTTATATTGCTTCCATTTAATTTAGAACTCCATGTATGAGACTAGTTGCTAAACTGTTAATAAATGAAAGAGGAAAGATTAAAAAGACAAGATTATCAAGCTGATAGAGGGGGATGGGTATTGATTTAAATAATGGCTTTCAGGCCTTCACAGTGTGCATGATTGGTGCTAGGCCGGGAAACTTCCCTCTGGATTTGGGAGTAAAAGTGTTTGAAATAGTCAAGTCCCTAAAACAAATGTAGGATTATTATAAGTCATATGTCAATACTGCAGTAAAACATGCAAGCAGAACAATGTGTAGTATCAAGGGTGGGAGTATAAATAAACCTAGAAAAAGAGACGCAAATTTCATTTTTAGCTTCAAAAGTATTACCAAGTTAAGATGTCAGGAGAAAGGAGAAAGGGCTATAGAAATACAGACTAATATTCTACTTCCTGCTTTTTACTTGATTTTATTCTTTGAAAAAAACAAAAACAAAAACCCCACATGTGAGAATTGCTGATGGGTAGGCCATCCTGAGGCTACCAGAGAAGATTTTGAAAAGATTTTGTGGTTTCTGTCTCTTTGTGATTATGTGTACTGCTCTACAGAACAAGGAAAACAGAACCTAGCTTTCCAAGCTCCACCATTCACAACCCTTCTCCTTGCCAGTTAAAGCACTGCCCCTTGAGAGTCAGAGGAAGCCAACTCACTGACATTTATTGAGATTCTATTATATGCCCAACCTTGACAAAGGTGGTTTCTCATGAGGCTGAGCCTGCTAAGTGAGAAGCTGGGATAAGGAATGCAGGCAAAACTTAGGGACCCAACAGGGGATAGTGGGGATCACATGCTCACCCTCAGGACCTGATCTGAGCATTTGCATAGACCTTCTAGCTCCTTATAGAAAGTAGGAAAAGTTTGCTTTTCATGACTTTCCTACTTTTGTCAGTTCAGTTTTTCCCCAGTGTCTAGTAACCATATATTTCATTTTCCACCCATCCAGACTCCTTGCTCCTTCCCCTTTGGTCAGGGGAAATTTCATAAATGTCATTTGTCACAAATCCACTCTCCACACTGGCCAGAGTGACAAACCCACTTTCTGAAGGATTCACAGCCATGTTTTCATAGTCACAAGATGTGTCCTTGGGAGTGGCTTCTCCTGAATTCAATCGGAATGAAATATTCTTCAGATCTGGACGAGGCTCAGCTAAGTCAGCTTCACTTTGTTTTCTTATGATGTTGTAAACTTCTAGATCTGGGCTGATTTCTTGGTAAGGAGAGGGCCAGATGGTGTGTTGTTCCTTTGTGCTAGGGTCTGGCTGCTCCTGTCTTCTAGGAGGAAAGGAAATCAAGGCTGAAAATTTGAGACCATGTGCTTCCTCCTGAAGCAAGAAGAATTAACTCCAAACTGTCACTAACCTATACTAACTCACCCATCTAAACCTCCCAGCCCCTGCTTTGAGGTGATGGGGGCAGGAAGAAACAAAACAGGAAATTATTAGTTCAAAGCAACTGTATATGTGTCATTCATTGCTGCCATGGTGTTATTATGGCTTGTATCTAGATGTCTTGCCAAGGCCTCATGTAGTCACAGGTGAGGCTTTTCAAAGGTGGCTGGATCTAGGGTGTATGAAAGTGGATTAAGGGTGTCTGGTACTAGATTAGCCCACTAATTGGCTTATTATAGTTCTAGGTAGGTAATAGGAGTCTCCAACCTGGGTGTGAGTGGCACCATCCAAAGGGCTTGCTTGTAGCCTGGATGGGATAAAAAGGAAAAAGAGGCTTCCTGCTTGCTGCCTCCTGCCTGCTCTGCCATGGACTGTTTCTCCTCTGTGGTGCCTCTCTGCCATGCCACCCTGCCTTGGGGACATTTGGCTATGAACTAAAGCTCTATACACTGTGAGGTGAAATAAACCTTTCTTCTTTTAACTGTGGGTATCAGGTATTTTGATCCAGCAATGAAAAAGTAACTAAGACACAGGGGTCCTAAGTGTGTTCAGTAATAGAAATGGGTATAAAAAAATACTACACTTTAAAAGACTAATTTTTAAGTGAAATTTAGTTTGTTCTAGTGTTTATATATGCCTATTGCATATATTTACTGTTTTAATTTTTTTTTTTTTGTACTGGGATTGAACTTGGGACCTTGCGCTTTCGAGGCAGTTGGTGGCATCACTGAGCTAAATCCCTGACTCTCTAATTCTTACAATAATCTTTTTAAGGAAGTTATGAAATAAAATAGGTTCTACATTGGAATCTTACTAATTCATCTCAAATTGATCATCAAAGGGAGTCAAAACTTAAATTGCCTATTGTAAAATGGGAATACTCTAGGCTTCTGTGTGTACCATGGTGATGGGGACTAAAAAAGGTAACTAAGGACAGTCATGCACCTAAAAAATGAGAGCACATGTTCTTCACCACAAACAGAGATTGTTCAGGTTACCTAATAGAGATTTTTGTAACAAGCTACTCTTACGTATTCAATTAAAAGAAAAATCAATTAAAGGTAATTTGGCTTTTTAATTTTGAATGAAGTGGCTCAGCTTCAGATGTTTACCAGCATGCTTTGGAACAATCACTTTTCATATGGCCCACTAGTGATTCTTTATTCAGTCAACAGACATTTTAGAACAAGGACTGTTTTGCTGGATGATACATGGATACAAAGGAAATGAATAACAAAGTTTGATCCAAACTCTTCCTCACATGCACAAAAATAGACTGTGAGATCACACTCTTAATGACAATTGAGCAGATATGCTTAGAGTGTCTGCATTTCCGGAGGGCTCCAGAGATTTTACTCTCAAATGAGCAGTGGTAATTCTTTAAAATTGCCCCAATTTTTAATGAAGTAAATTGGGTAATGAACAGGTTTACATTAATGAAGATTTTACTTGCCTCTTTCTACAGACCCAAACCCAACATATTACTGTGGTGACCACAACGAGGAGTAGGAGGAGAGGAATACTTGGGATTAGGATGTAGGTAAGATTCAAGGCAGCTCCTGAAAAAAAAGCACATGGTCAGCATTGGTGATTTTTTTGGTGTGTGTGTGTTTTAAGTCTTAAAAGCATAGTCAATATAGGGTATTCCAAAGAGCACATTCCTAGGTAACAGAGTCACAGTTACCAAAAAGTCTTCTAGTTCCTGCCTGTCTTAGTGCTCTGAACAATAATGAAAATACATTTGAATTTTTGGATCTCTTGTAAACATTGAAAGGGAACTTTTGATAATTAAAGATAAATTCACAGAGAAGAGATTCTCTATTTCTTGTACTGCTTAGCAGACAGAGGCTAAGGGGGAAGTGGGACGCCTTTGCCTCTAAGGACATCCATAGTAGTTTGCAATGGTGGGGGCGGGGGTTGGCCGAGAAAAAGCAATGAGGCAGAGGTCTCAGTATCATTACCATGAAAGAGAAAGTCACCCAAAACACATGAATTAGAATGCAGAGCATTTCCAACATTTCTGACTTTGACCAGCTGGATTCAGTTGAGTTCTTGGACAGTGACTATAAAGAACACTTAGAGGTCTGCCTTTCTAAACTTTTTAGTCTTTTAAGACTTAGAACCAGAGATCAATCCCTTGGAGGGTTTAAAAGGAATCAAGGATTGAAAATTAACCCTTTCTTCCTCTGCAGATCCAAGATTCCCACCATTCACAGGCTGCTGCTTTTACTTTTTCCTGTGAGGCTACAAACTTGACACTCAGAAAACAGAAAACACACTCCAAAATCCATTCTGCATATCACTATAATAGCAATGAACAACAGAAATGCCACCTACCTTTGCACAGCACTGCTCTTTTTTCAAAGTATTTTTCACACATTATAGCTATTGTATAATAAAAATTTTGGACCTTGTTACTGATGGATCCTGAGAGGGAGGTTCTAAATCCTTGGAATTTTCCAAGTAATGGGAATGGCTTTGCTATTTGTGAACCTCTTAGGTGGTACCAGAGTTTATTGAGGAAGATGTCTCAGAATAGGTGCTAGCCACGCCAGAAGGACCCACCATGTGATTATAAGGTGGGAGCTTTGAGCTGGGTGGTTTTATCCTGACTTTCAGAGACTGAATTGTACCATAGGACCGATGTTCAGATCATTCATGCCTGTGTAATGAAAGTCTAAAAAAACAAACAAACAAAAAAACAAAAAAACCTCTGGACACCAAAGCCCACTTGAGCTTCCTGGTAAGATTTTTATGGGGTGAAGATATAAAAGATCTCCATATAGAACCCTCCTAGACCTCACCCTATGTATCTTCCTTTGGCTATTTTTGACTTGTATTATGTATAAAAAAAATACATAAATATGTTTTTTTTCTGAGTTTTGTGAGTTGTTTTAGTGAATTACAAAGCCTGAGAGGAGATTATATAGGCTCTTCCCTGGATTTGGATCCAGATGGTTCGGATGCAGGTGTCCAGAGGATCCCCAAACTTGTGGCTGATGTCTGAAGGGAAGACAGTTGTGGGTTGTGCCTTTAAGTTGTGGGGTCTGTGTTAACTTGGGTGGTTAGTGTCAGAATTGAATTGCGTATTATTTCATTTTATGGACACAGTAATTCAGATAGGTAAGAAAAATGTTGTTACTTCCATTATGCAAATGATTAAACTGAAGTACAGAAAAATTAAATGTTTTTTTAAGTTTCCCAGTGACAAAAACCCAAATTTTCTGCTTTATACTTTTTTTTTTTTTGGTACCAGGGATCAAACTTGGGTCCTTGCACTTACAAGGCAGGCAGTGGCACCACTAAGCTAAATCCCCAGCCCTCTTCTTGATACTTTGAGTGAGAATAAGTTTGAAAGTCCATTAGCATAATCACCCCATTTTCTTTTACCTTTTGATTGTGACTCTTTTTTTTCTGGTACCAGGGATTGAACTCAGGACCTTGCGCTTGTGAGGCAGGCACAGTGCCACTGAGCTACACCCCCAGCTCTTTTATCTTTCATAACCTAACACTTGAAGTGTTTTTGTCTATTTCCTCTCTTTGTTTCACAAGTGAATATTAATCACAGGTGTTACACATCAGGCATTTTCCTGCTGTCATTTCTTTATATCTACTCTCTCAGTCCCTGTTTGATTCCATTCCTTGTGACTCATGGGTAAGTCACGAGGCTTTGCCTTCATGCAGATCTTTCACCATCTGACCAGTTTGATGTCCCTAACTATCGTATCTAGCTCCATATGCAAATTACAATAATGAAATCTAGAATTTAATACAGACTTTTCAAAGTCCCAAGTGCCTTGTCTAATTTCACTTTTAAGGAGTTGAGAGAAAGAACAAGCAGGAAATGTAACTATGGGTAATTTGTGATCAAAGGAATCCCATTGTCTATTTTTTCCGGGCAAGTTCTGTGCATACCTTTGTTTTCTGTGAGTGTTTCTTTGGCATCTTCTTTCTCTGTTTCTTTGGGAAGAATGGGTGTTTCTGGCTCTGTTCCCTCACCTGGAGAGAGACATATAGACTTGAAAATGTGAAGAAAGGCACTGAAACCCAGATATGCTCTTAGGTCATGTCATGTTTGAAACGGGATGCAAAAATGCAGCACCAATTTGATCTATGACATTTATAAACGTAGAAAAGTGAAGGGTTGAATTTGATGCTGTGAAGGTTTGTCTTCATCTTGTTGAGATCCTTGATGCCCAGGATCAGACAACAAAGTGAATAACAAGAAGCTGGTGTTGAGCTATATAAAGTACTAAGGTGCCAAGGGAAAAGTCCTTACTGTTGGGACCACAAGTAATCAGTGTGGCTCATTTCTTGTGTTATTAGATTAAATTATTCCCTTCATATTGTCAATAATAATAAGTAACATCCCAAGATGAACTTGTAACTACTACTTTTCAGCTGTGAGAGATGTGTACAATAGCAGAGAGTAAGAATAAAGAAATAGTCATCATGGCTGGTTGTGGTATAGACCTGTCCAAATTGTCTGGGTTGACATCAGTGATCTTTCTGCTGAATAATCTGGCCTAAATGTCATATAGTTGTAAATTCATGAAGAGAGTGTATGCAGCAGCCTAAATTAACCAAAATCTTAGAAACAGCCTTACCTCCAGGCCTTGTAAAAGGAGCTGTTGATTTTTCTGCAGCAGGAAAAAAAAAAAAAAAAAAAAAAAAAAAAACATAAAAAAAAAAAAAAAAAAAAAAAAAAAAAGAAAAAGAAAATAATAACTAGATTTTTTCTTTCATCTGAATGAAATTAGATTATGACATCCATTTCCAGTAAACTATTTATTGTTTCCAGATTATTTACTGTTACCAGATACCAAGGGTTAGTTAAGTCAAAAGAATTACTTTTTTTTTTTTTTTTTTTGCTATGGGGGATTGAACTCAGGACCTTGTACTTGCCAGACAGGTGGTGGCACTAATGAGCTAAATCCCTGGCCAAAAGAATTACTTCTGCATAAAGACAAACCAACCCCTAGCTTTAATTTGGTGCTTTTTATTTTTTTAAAAAAAGGTATTTAAAACTTTTACACATGTGAATTTCCAAATACACAGAAAAGTAGAAAGTCTGCTGTAATGAACCCCATTGAACTGTCAGGCAGCTTCCACTCCTATCAAGTGCAGTTAAGTTAATGCAGTTTCAATAACTCCTCCTCCCTCTTTACATTTGAGCTGGATTATTTTAAAGCAATTCAAGATTATTAGTGGATACTGGCGGTATGTTAGAGAGGAGTAAACAGCAATCTCCAAGCAATGAAAATAGTTGAAGGACCGCTCAGCCCAAAGGCAGAGAGACTGGTGATCAGCTGTGAGTTATTTTACATACTTCCAAGAGCCTCAGGAAAGTGAGATTTCAGATAACCTAAGTCAGATTTTTTTCCCTTTGGTTGACCTTTTGTCTTGGCAGTGAGTCTTTTATATAAATCAGATCCATGGGCTTCATAGGAACAGGGGTCTTAAGGGTGAAATTTTACAAATCACATTCTCAAGACTCAGATGTCAAATCTATTCTGGTTTCATTCAGAAACTTCCAATCATGTGGGGGATAGAGCTGATGCGAGTATATTTACATAAGTCAAAAAATCCACATCTGTAATGCCTACTATTTGAGAGATGGGGATTTAGCTCAGTGGCACTGTGCCTGCCTCACAAGTGCAAGGTCCTGAGTTTGACCCCTGGTACCCCCACAAAAAAAAGATTCTAAGTGTTTTATGAGGAAGGATAAGTTCAATCTTAGTAGCAGCCTTATGAGGGAGCTTCATTATTATTCTGGCTTTGTACAAGAGAAGACCAAGATTGAGTAATTTGCAAATTCAGTTAGTAACTGAAGTGGGATTTCAACCAAATGAATTCAAATAAAATTAGAACAGTAGGGAGACAAACAAAATTAATACAGTAAGGGGATGATTGTGCTAGGTTGTGGAGAAGCCACAGCAAGTACTCTCGTCCCTCTAAGGAGCTTATATTCTACAGGATGAACAAAAATCTATATATAGAGAGTATTAATTACCATTAATTTCATATTACATTAATAGACATAGTATAGCCAATAACATTCCATGATCTACTTGTGTTGTTGTCTTTCCAGAGTGCAGAATCACAGTAAGCATGGCCTAAGCATACAATATTTACATCAGTCTCAGCATACTCATCTCTGAGCTTCCGATTAGTTTTTTCTTTAATTTTCCCTAAATATTCTTGTGCCTTTAGAAATAATCAACTGTTTAGCTCTGGCTAGCATGCCACCTATTCCACATGGCCACATGCTTGAATCTAGTTTTAGGAATAATATAATTCACCCAGTTCCTTGCCACTGTCATAAGAGGACAGTGTGCCATCTTGAGGGAACCATATAAGTAATCTTCCTCTTGCCCATCGAGTGGTTAGACATATACATTTGCAGACCGAATGCCAGCCATACAGTGAAACCTGGAAACAGGCAGATAAAGAACTGTGTGCAGAGAAGCAGCTGTCCCTAGTTTTGAGGGATCCTGAAATCTTTCCAAAAGAAATTAGTTTTTTAATTTTTCTATTTTGAAATAACTTTAGGTTTATGAAAATTTGCAGGAACAGTACAAAGAATTCTTGTCATTCATTTTGTCATTTTGCCACATTTCTGTATCTACCAATTTATTTCTATATCTTTACCTATATGCATGTATTTATATGTACACATACACATATATTACACTTTTCCAGAGTAAATTTCAGACATTGCACCTCTTTATTCCTAAATACTTTAATCCATTTAAGAAGGGAGACAGGCATTCTCTATATAACCACCATACAATGAAATCAACATTAATATAATATTTTTATCTAATCTACAGACCTTATTCAAATTCTGCCAATTCTCCTAATAATGTCATTTATAGAAAATCATCATTTTCACTGTCACCACTTCCATCATCGTCATGGTCTAGGATCCAATCCAGGATGATTTACTGCACTTAGCTGTTACAAGAGAGGGTGATTTCTAACTTGATCCTGAGGGGTGAGGATGAGTTGACTGGGAAAGGGTGAAAGGTATTCCATGCACAGGACACAGCAGTTAAGAGCTCCTGGAGGAACAGCATTGAATGCAGGGGTGTTGGAGTAGGATGGAGTAACAGTGTGGAAAACTGAGGCCAGCGGAGGAAAGGATCGGACCATGATGATCCTTTCCTTGCAATGCCAAACTGTATGAACTTATTCTGAGGATAAGTGGCTACATAAAAGCAATATGTTAGTTCTTCTCCATACACCCACCTCCCTCTATTAGATCTATTCTCTGTGTCCTGAGAGGCTGGTCTCTATGAACTATTTTACTGGGAATCCCTTGTCCTTTGGTTTTTGAGTCAGCCAATGGGAGGCAAAAACAAGAGATCAGAGGGTAGGAGGAGAGAAAGGTCACTGTGTTTATTCTTCATGACCTTTCTATGTCAGCACAGGTTACCCGGTGCTGCGTTCTGTTGGGGATACACTGCCATCTCCTACTCTTTGCCTGCACTTCTGAAAGTATGCCTTTTATTGTAGTCTCCTTATTAAAACATTTGAATATATCATTTTTTTTCTGTCCAGAACTCAATCTAAATGATGCAGGCAATAGCAAAAGTCATGAAGAATATTATTTCTTTTTAGAAAGGTATCAAGTTAAAAAATAAAAGACTGCTAAGCAAATTTCAAAATTTAATATTTCAGAAAATGATAAGGAAGTGCACACATTGAAACCACAAAGCTAATAGAATACAATTAACAAAAGTGATGGGAAACTAGTTTGTAACAAGTGTTCTGCTCTCACTGCTTTGAGAAGGTGACCTGCTAACTAAGCCAGTATGTCTTTAGAAGCTCCTGCCTGGGACAACACTCTATAATGGGGAAGGCCAGAGAATTCATTTGATGGAATAAAAAGAAGAAAAAAAAATTCTTCAGCAGCAAAAATTGCCCCCAAAGCATGGTCCAATTCAAACAATTTAAAAATGATAGTATTACTTGTCTCAAACTAGATATAACTAAGTCATTCTACTACTATCAGGAAAGAATGCAGATTTGGGGCCAAGCAGTAAGCTTCAGGGAAGAGAGAACTTCAGGGATGGATGAAACCAGCTGAAGTTTAAATCTAAGTTTATTAAAATAAAGGAGTCTGGGAACCTCAGAAGAGTGATACTATGGGCTTATAGCCAATTCAAAACCTTACAGATATAAAAGCAAATCCAAGTTGATTTTTCTAGGCATACACAGTGGTAATGGTCTGGGGAACTTAAGCTTGTTCATCAAAGCTTCTGCGATCTCTGCCTAGTACCAGTGAAATTGGTGTATTTTACCATTTGCCTACTCCGGTCATTAGTGTGCTTCCTTAAGCTCCTAGAAAATAATCTCACATGGCTGTTGGAGGATTTGTAGGAGAATGGTCAAGTTATTTCAAATTCCTACAAGCAGTATCACATGTGGAACAAGTAAGAGTTCATGTTTCTCCATGAAGATAGCTTTTTCTCTCTGGATAGTCTCTTAAGTTTTGCTTTATCACACTGCTATTAGATCCTTTTTCATCCCTTCTGTAAGCATCTGATAACCTTTCCTTTGCTAGAATTACTCCTGAGTGAGGAACTGAGCATGTCTATTTATAAGAATCCCCAAAGTGTAACATTTCTGGCATTTGTAATAAGCTTTCTTGGTGACCACATAACAAATTCTTGGCACTAGCAACTGCTTACGAAAGAGAAAGGAGGTTGCACATTAGTCACATAGCTTGGGAGAGAATTCATTACCATCAGAATATTTGCAAATGAAATTGTTTTTCATGTTGCATCGGTCGTCATTCCACTGGAACATGTAGGGGCCCCCAATGCCAGCTGGTGCTGATGGCTGATGGTACATGACCACGCAGACCTCGCTGCCACAGGAAGGCTCATCCACGTACCAGTTCCTGCAAGAAAAGGATCAAGAATGGAGGCAACTGGAGAAACATATGCCAAGGCTTCCAAGCCTGTTTTCCTACCAGGTTCCATTGAGTTGTGAACATAAGATTCTACTTCAGAGCACAAGGGGGTGGGATGGGAATTCAAGCACTGCCATAAGCAGAACCACAGGCCTTCTAATATTGACATCACAATTAATCAACTGCCATATGGTATATCTTTACAGGGAGGACTATATTACCTTAAGATGTTTGCAAATTAATTATGAGGAAAAGCAGCTAGTAGAGTTAGACTGCATAATCTCATTTCTGTCTTGCTTTTTGCTAATTGTGTTGTTTCTCTCTTTTAGAGATCAGATGCAGTGAAGAGGCATGATGTATCTCATCCAGAATGTGCCCTGCTTCCATCTCTTCTGCTTTTCAACAGCCAAAACTGCCTTCCCAGCCTGGGAGGTAGATAGAAAGTTCAGGCATCTGATTGAGACATTCCAAGATATGGAGGCTGTCAAAGCAGGTAAAGGCAACAGGGCCACCTTTTAAGCCATTTCCACTTGATCAGGCTGGTAACACTTTAGCCTCCACTGCCATGCGTCTTATCTTTGCCTCTCTACCTCTCTGAATAAGTGCATTCATAACCTTAGCTCCCCTTTCCTGAGGTACCTGGAATTAAATGGTGCTGCCACCTAGTTGGGTATACAGGTGGCAGGTTAAAGCCTCAGATCCCATATGGCAGTGCTGATCAACCTATGGCATGTGTGTCACAGCAGGTGTACAAAGCCTTCTCTGTTGGCACACAAGCCAAGTTACTCCAGCAGTCAAACATTGGATAACAGTTGTTTTTAAATCTAAAACATCAGTGTTCAGGTATAACTGCAGTGTTGGCACTTTGTAATAAATGAGTTTTGGGTTGTAGCTTGGACATTCAGTCTCTGAAAGGTTCTCCATCACTGTCATAGAAAGTATAAATCTGCAAGCACATAACCCATGCATTACTCTGTCTGGGTCAGACTTTGTAGTTTTTCTGGCTTCCCATCTGAGCTGTTTCCCTCCAGGGATGGCATCTTGCCCTGAAATTCAGACTACTTAGTTGGGCACTGCTGCTTTGCCTCACTCTTGTCAGGGCCCCTCCTAAGCAAAAAGACAGCTAAAAGAAAGGTCTCCTGGTAGCACTAAGTATGGCTCTGCTTCAGTCCTGTGTTACAGTCTGCCAAAAAGAAAATCGTTTACCCACCAGTCATTTCCAGAACAGCTAAGCTTGCAATGAGTTCCCCTTGGACATTATGCCTGGACAGCTGGGGGCCTGATGAAGGCTGAGCTTTGTACCTCATTAATTACCTCCAGCCCCTTTTCTAACTCCATTGGCCCTCCTCACTGACCTTAATGGTTTCTCTTATTTAGTCTCAAAGATAGATGGAATATTTTGGCTCACATATACTTTTAGGACTCCAGCCAGTTTTCAGACTCAGAATTTACTGATAGAGGGAGAGGCCAGGTGCCCAGGAGGAAAGCGACCTGTAACATTGTGGCATGTGCACATGATTACAGTTTCTCTTGTCTTTTCCCCAAAGGAGGCTGTGAGCATTTATTCATAACCATACACTGGATACGGGGGTAAATCCAGATATTACAAGGAATGTTTGACACAGGCTTTCTACTAAGTAAGTAGCATCAGCCAAGAGATGGTGCAGCCCAACCCACCTGACATGAGTTACACGACACTTAGCACAAGTTGGCTAGGCCAGAATTAACCCACTGTAAGATAGAAGAGGTTTATCCAGAATCAAAGGGCACTGTATGATTAGGAAGAACAGACTGCCCTGGTATCTACTGTTTCTGTACCAGAACTTTTTCCTCAGCTCACACATATAGTGCTTGGAAGAGTCCCTTATGACTAGCTGATACAGGCAGGAACTTGCTTCATAGCTAAGCCAAACTAAATATGGGTGAACAAGCTGAAGTGGACAACATCTGCACTGCCTCTCCGCTCAGAGGTGGCTTTGAAAGATAGTGGTAAGGGGACACTCTTCCATTGGCCAGAGCTTTAGATGATGCCTCTAGTTAACCACCTTGTGTGGAAATAGAAGTTATTGGAAGTTAGACCATATAAAGACTCAGGGGGAAAGGCAAATAGCATGGCCAACTGATGGAAGAAGAGTGGAAGATTGGGAATAAGGAAGTTTTGGATAGAATGATGTGCACAGATATATGGGAATGTACAAAAAAAAGAAAATTTTTATGTCACCTCACCAGAGAGCATCTATCATAGAGGAGGCACTAACCAAAGAGGGAGGCAAAATGACTCCCATGGTGATGCCAGCCATCTTGCTAGCAGCCACCCCAGCTACCTTAATACTAGTACAACAGATATATAAATAGAGTAGCCATGGTGGGAGGATGGAGGCTATGCATGTTCATAACATATTGGCTCCTAATCACCAAGACAGATCTGGCTACTACTACTGCCAAATGTTCAGCCTTCCAGAAGCAGAGAACCAATGCTATGTCTCTGACAGAGCATAAATACTTGAGGAGTCCAATATGGCACTAATGACAAGTTAATTACATTGGACCCACCCCTGAAAGGGACAATGATTCATTTTGGTAGGATCATTAGACTCTGGGCATGGATTTGCCTTTCCTGCCTCAGGGCCTTAGTCAGCACTGCTGTCCAAAGGTATACACAGTATTTAACCCATCAGTACAGGATTACAAATAACCTCTCATCAGACAAAAAGACCTGCTTTATATTAAAGAAGGTGTGAGAGTAGGTGCCTGGCCATGGGCTTTCTCAGGCCAGATCACATATTGCACTGCCCCGAAGCTGCCAGCTAGTAAGAGTGATGGAATAGCCCATTGAAAGCATGGATAAAGCATTAATTTAGTGGCAATATTTTGGGACAGAACATTATTATCCAGTGAATGATTTCCATAGTCACGTGTCTCAAAGAGTGAAATCCACAAGGTGAGAGTAAAGGGATGAGATCAGGAGTACCTTCACTGGTGGGGATGCACTTGGGGAATTTGTACTTGTCTGAAATGATGGGCTTTGGGTGTCATTAGTTTCCACAAGGAAATATAAGTCTTAAGATATAAGAGTCTTGAGCTATGAACCATGGCTGTCTCTTAGACACTTAAGATACAAAGACCAGCAGGCAAAGGAGATATCATTATCTTGGCAGATGGTAATTGACTTGAATCATCAGGAAGAGGTAGGTTTGCTGTCACATAGGATAGGCAGGGAGAATAGCCCTAGGTTATCTATTTGGCTATCTCTTGGTACTCGCTTGCTCAATTTTGATGGTCAGTGATAAAGTACATTAAGTCCAGCCAGAGAAGTGCATGGTGACTAGGGCTTGGGACTTTTCAGAGATGAGGGTCTGGGTCATGACACAAGGCCAGCCATTGAGACCAGAACAAGGTAGGGGAATCTGAACTGGATAGTAGAGGAAGGAGGTCAGTGGGTATCACTGGTGGCCCTGGGCCCAGCTGCAGTGATTGCAAATATAGCTCACCCTTTTAATCTTCATTGTTTAAAAAGATTCTCTCAGGAAGGGAAGCCATGAGAATACTGGATAAGGATGTGACTGACATAGTGGGTAAACAATGATGGATGCAGACATTCTGTTTTAAATGTAACATTCTTCATTCTTTTGACTGATTGATAATGATGCTAGATTTTTTTTAATAAATAATTTTTATAAATATTTATAAATATTTTTATAAATAATTTTCTGTTTTATGTACTCTCTGCTTAGGTCTTTTGCTGCTTTATCTTTATCCTTTGAGAGTCTTAGTGCTTTCTTGATTTATATAAACTCTTTATCACAAGACATCAATTCCTTGTTAGAGTTTTTATAGATATTTTCCCAGTCTGATATCTGTCTCCTAATTTTCATAATTTTTAATATTTGTTCACACAATTGCATTTTTTAGTGAGGGATGTTGTCAGTGGTGCAAGGATAGGGTGTGAGTGTTAGTGTCTTGGTGCTGTGGGTTTAGAGGTTCCTACAAACTGTAATCTTCCTAAAGTCCCCACTCTTGGCCAGTTCATGAGGTTAGATCTTGGGCTCTGATTTCTTGCCCATTACTACATTTTACAATGGTCTGGAGTCCTATCTTGACTCCAGCTCTCTTAATAGGGTTGTAGTCCAAAACACAAGATAGCCAGGACCACTGACTTCAAGCATGATGTGCCATTGAGACAATGCTGCTGGTCTTTAGCCACTTGACCAGAAGTCACCCAAGTCAAGGCTGAGCTCACTATCTTCACCACAGTGCTTTTGGTCAGTAGCTGTTACTATGCCCTGGTTTCTACCTGGCTCATTTTTCTCCCCTGCCCCATAGATCTGGCATCATGGATCTGGCACCATAGATCTAGCTGCCTTTTTTCCAAGTTATGTTATGAAAATTAGATGCTGTGAGTTCTATACACTTACCTAAATTTTGATGTGCTGCCATCAGTCCAAGCATAAAGATCTTGGCAGGCCGTACTATTGCTTTGTTTCTCTTCATGCCTTCTGAGCCCAATCCAGAAATCACCATCAGATGCCAAGAGGTTTTCAATGAACATGTTTATCAGTCTCTGCTCATCTTCAGACTCGATGCTGACTAGCTGGCCCCCATCCCTCCTGCAAACTTCTTTGGCTTCCTCATAGTCAAGTCTTCGAGAAGTATCATGGAAGTAAATGACTTTATAACAAGGCTTCTGTGTCCCTCCCCGGCAGACCAGCTGCCCTAGAGAAAAAAAGAAGGCAACCTGTTTCAATGTCCAAAAAAAGTATACCAGGATAGGTAATGATGCTATTTCTGGGCAGCAATTCTGATTACTCTTCAGCAGACTGTGAACGTGTCATTTAGGGTTTCCAAAGAAAATGAATACTCTATTTAGCATAGAGTTGCAGTCATTTAAACTCTGATGTCTATATTGTATAGGAACACCATGTTTTTTTTTCTTTACAAATTCTTGAAAAGCAGATATTGCTATCTTTTAAGAGAGAGGTTGATGAAGATTGATGGTTTCACCTAAGACACATAAATAATACTTTCAAGCCATGAGGTAATCTCAAGGGGTTAGTGTGTCTTGAAGTAATTATCTTTGTTAAGTGGTTCCTTCAGGTAAGAGAGATATTCTGAGGTGAGGTATGAATTCCTTTACCTATGTAGGAGGACTCATTTGCTCAATCTCTAATGTGAGCAGAAGCTTATAACATTAGATCTATGGGGTTTTCTGCTGCTGACAGTTCTCTGACTCAGAGAAACAGCTAAGGTGTAGTGAACTTTTCCATGAGAAGGGCTTTATATTTACATATATATCTTATCTCACTTAACCCTCACAACCAACCTCTGATGCAGATATTGTTTTTATGTCCCATTTTATAAATGAGAAAAGCAAGCCTCAGAATAACCAAATAATTTGGCTAAGATCAAATTATTAGCTATCAATGGCATTGTCCAAGTCAGAACACAGATATGATGTCAGAGTCACGAGCTATACTTCTGGCTCCCCACTTCACCCCAAATTTAGTTCGCATTGGGAGTCTATGTAATGTGTCTCATCTGACTGACATCTCATGGGCTGAAAACCACTGCAGAAAAAATGAACAGGATTTTTACCAAGAAGTAACAAACTATTCATCAGTACATGCTGTCCTACTTTGTGTCTGGTGATTGAAGGCTTGCTGCAACTGGTATCTTAGTCTCATTCATTATTCTTCTTTTCTTCCTTGTCTTTCCCCCTTTTCCTTCATTACCCCTTTATTCAGTCAACACTTATTGAGCTAGGTGCTGAGAATACAGAAACAAATGCCAGTTCCTAGTCCATGGGAGCACATAGTGTTTGTGGAACTAAATGTACAAAATGAAGACCACATTTCAACAGGGAGAGTAGTCCCCTGCAATGAGACAGCAGAACTGTGGGCTGTGGGTGTTAATTGCTACCACAGAGTCGGGGGTGAAGGATTTTGGTTTGGGAATCTCTTTCCAGAACTTCTGGAATGTTCTCATTTTCCAAACATGCTTTGCAGTAGTGGAAGGAGCCAAATAGCTTTCATTATTTCCAATATTGCCAGAATACAGGGCAAAAGGCCACAGACAGTTAACTACATTATGGGAAAGAGTACATACAGATGGTCCAGAAAGCTCCAGTGAATTTTTATTATCCATTTCTTCTCTCATCACTTTGATAAAGAAATTCTCAATAAGAAACAATTTGGAAGTGTCTTGGACATTCTCCCCTTTCCTGACATTAAAAAAAAAAAGACAAAGCTATTGTTGCTAAATAGAGCAACTCAAACTGGATGGATCCACCAGCAAATTAGGAGGGCTCAAAAGGAAAAGGATGTTCTCCCCAAGAGATGTTCCAGAGAGGCTGTGGCTGAGGGGTGACCTGGGGGAGGAGGATGGGATGGCCAAGATTCTGTGGTTCCTTTTAAGTGGCTCCAAATCAGTGTAGGAAAGGCAAACGGGCCCCAGGCATACTCCCAACTCCTGGTGACTAGCATAACACAAGTTGGAGTTGAATTTACTGGCAGCCCTCACTTTTCCATGCCGGATTGTCAAGAGAAAACATAACACCTTAGTCGAGTTTCCTGTACGGTCCAGCCTGGGCCACACATTGCAACTCTGCAACTAATGCCAGATTGAGTCAGAGCTGGAAGGAGGCGGAGCGCCCACTTGGTTCTCCAGCCTTCAGGAAGCATCTTTCTCCTCATTTGCAGGAAGGGGAAAGGTGGGCGGGCCTTCTGCCCCCGCTACCAACAAGTACCGAGCCTAGGCAGCCCAAGGCTAAACGGCTCAATTCAGTTGCTTTCCCCTTTTGCTATCCCGCACCCCCACCCCCAATCCTGAAACCAACTTTAGATTCCTTAAATCAGCCTACAGCTGAGACGCCCAGTTGTTGCCATTCTCCTCGGTCCCTCTGATAAAGCTGTGGACTGCCAGAGAAGGGGAGCCGAGGAAAAGGCACGGATATCCTCCCCTTAACATGCAGAACAACTGAAAGAGGCAAGAAGCCAAATCACAGTACCTCTTCTAGGGTCCAAGTCCGAGGCTGACGACACGAAGGAAGGAAGGAAGCAGAGTCATTCCCTGGAGTCAGGCGGGGCGCGTCCCGCGCTCACTAGGCTGCCTTCGGGATCTCTAAGCGCTTTCCTTTCAGGCGCTGGAACCAGCCGTCCCCCACCCCCCAGAAACTGGGAGTAGCAGGCAGGGGTCCAGAGCCCCACGCCGCCGTCTGCGTGGCTGTTTCCCTGAGTGAGCAGTAGAAGGGGGTGAGTTGGTGAGCCTGCCCCGGGAGGGCATCTTCCGCACGACAGAGCAGCGCTCAGTGGAGCGGGCCGAAGGGGCTCCCACCAGAGCAAGTTTTGTTCACTGCCCCACCAGACGACGTCCTCCGACCCACCCGGGAATGCTGGGCCGGGAGCAGACTTGAGCCCTCCAGGATACTGGGGAACTGGGCGCCCCAGGAACCAGCTCTGGCCTCAGACGGGAGCAACTGGTCCGTGGAAGCCGGGCCTCCGAAAGGCTGGGTCCAGGGACAGCGGTTGGGAATACCCAGCGGAGGGCCTTCAGAAAGGTGCAGCGAACCCTGAGGAGGGGCAGCATCAGCTGGGGTGCAGTGGGTGCCTTTAGCCTAGCCTCCTCCGGCCACAGCCTCCGCCCCTGCGCAAGTACTCACCGCTCAGCAGGCGACCCTCCGTGCCCCGCAGCCCCGCCAGCAGCCCCACCAGCAGCACGGCCTGTAGGACCGCGACCGACTGCATGGCCCGACTTCGGAGCGCCCTCTGACACCCTGCACTTCGTCGGTGGAGCTGGCGGGGGGGGGC